TAGCTGTACCATACACCACAGCCAGACACAGAATGTTGGACTGTTAGCTGTACCATACACCACAGCCAGACACAGAATGTTGGACTGTTAGCTGTACCATACACCACAGCCAGACACAGAATGTTGGACTGTTAGCTGTACCATACACCACAGCCAGACACAGAATGTTGGACTGTTAGCTGTACCATACACCACAGCCAGACACAGAATGTTGGACTGTTAGCTGTACCATACACCACAGCCAGACACAGAAATGTTGGACTGTTAGCTGTACCATACACCACAGCCAGACACAGAATGTTGGACTGTTAGCTGTACCATACACCACAGCCAGACACAGAATGTTGGACTGTTAGCTGTACCATACACCACAGCCAGACACAGAATGTTGGACTGTTAGCTGTACCATACACCACAGCCAGACACAGAATGTTGGACTGTTAGCTGTACCATACACCACAGCCAGACACAGAATGTTGGACTGTTAGCTGTACCATACACCACAGCCAGACACAGAATGTTGGACTGTTAGCTGTACCATACACCACAGCCAGACACAGAATGTTGGACTGTTAGCTGTACCATACACCACAGCCAGACACAGAATGTTGGACTGTTAGCTGTACCATAGCCAGACACCACAGCCAGACACACAATGTTGGACTGTTAGCTGTACCATACACCACAGCCAGACACAGAATGTTGGACTGTTAGCTGTACCATACACCACAGCCAGACACAGAATGTTGGACTGTTAGCTGTACCATACACCACAGCCAGACACAGAATGTTGGACTGTTAGCTGTACCATACACCACAGCCAGACACAGAATGTTGGACTGTTAGCTGTACCATACACCACAGCCAGACACAGAATGTTGGACTGTTAGCTGTACCATACACCACAGCCAGACACAGAATGTTGGACTGTTAGCTGTACCATACACCACAGCCAGACACAGAATGTTGGACTGTTAGCTGTACCATACACCACAGCCAGACACAGAATGTTGGACTGTTAGCTGTACCATAAACCACAGCCAGACACAGAATGTTGGACTGTTAGCTGTACCATACACCACAGCCAGACACAGAATGTTGGACTGTTAGCTGTACCATACACCACAGCCAGACACAGAATGTTGGACTGTTAGCTGTACCATACACCACAGCCAGACACAGAATGTTGGACTGTTAGCTGTACCATACACCACAGCCAGACACAGAATGTTGGACTGTTAGCTGTACCATACACCACAGCCAGACACAGAATGTTGGACTGTTAGCTGTACCATACACCACAGCCAGACACAGAATGTTGGACTGTTAGCTGTACCATACACCACAGCCAGACACAGAATGTTGGACTGTTAGCTGTACCATACACCACAGCCAGACACAGAATGTTGGACTGTTAGCTGTACCATACACCACAGCCAGACACAGAATGTTGGACTGTTAGCTGTACCATACACCACAGCCAGACACAGAATGTTGGACTGTTAGCTGTACCATACACCACAGCCAGACACAGAATGTTGGACTGTTAGCTGTACCATAAACCACAGCCAGACACAGAATGTTGGACTGTTAGCTGTACCATACACCACAGCCAGACACAGAAATGTTAGGACTGTTAATGCTGTACCATACACCACAGCCAGACACAGAATGTTGGACTGTTAGCTGTACCATACACCACAGCCAGACACAGAATGTTGGACTGTTAGCTGTACCATACACCACAGCCAGACACAGAATGTTGGACTGTTAGCTGTACCATACACCACAGCCAGACACAGAATGTTGGACTGTTAGCTGTACCATAGCCACCACAGCCAGACACAGAATGTTGGACTGTTAGCTGTACCATACACCACAGCCAGACACAGAATGTTTGGACTGTTAGCTGTACCATACACCACAGCCAGACACAGAATGTTGGACTGTTAGCTGTACCATACACCACAGCCAGACACAGAATGTTGGACTGTTAGCTGTACCATAAACCACAGCCAGACACAGAATGTTGGACTGTTAGCTGTACCATACACCACAGCCAGACACAGAATGTGGGACTGTTAGCTGTACCATACACCACAGCCAGACACAGAATGTTGGACTGTTAGCTGTACCATACACCACAGCCAGACCAGAATGTTGGACTGTTAGCTGTACCATACACCACAGCCAGACACAGAATGTTGGACTGTTAGCTGTACCATACACCACAGCCAGACACAGAATGTTGGACTGTTAGCTGTACCATACACCACAGCCAGACACAGAATGTTGGACTGTTAGCTGTACCATACACCACAGCCAGACACAGAATGTTGGACTGTTAGCTGTACCATATAACCACAGCCAGACACAGAATGTTGGACTGTTAGCTGTACCATACACCACAGCCAGACACAGAATGTTGGACTGTTAGCTGTACCATAAACCACAGCCAGACACAGAATGTTGGACTGTTAGCTGTACCATACACCACAGCCAGACACAGAATGTTGGACTGTTAGCTGTAGCCAGGACAGACAGAATGTTACTGTTAGCTGTACCACACCACAGCCAGACACAGAGTGTTGGACTGTTTAGCTGTACCATACACCACAGCCAGACACAGAATGTTGGACTGTTAGCTGTACCATACACCACACACACAATGTTGGACTGTTAGCTGTACCACCACAGCCAGACACAGAATGTTGGACTGTTAGCTGTACCATACACCACAGCCAGACACAGAATGTTGGACTGTTAGCTGTACCATACACCACAGCCAGACACAGAATGTTGGACTGTTAGCTGTACCATACACCACAGCCAGACACAGAATGTTGGACTGTTAGCTGTACCATACACCACAGCCAGACACAGAATGTTGGACTGTTAGCTGTACCATACACCACAGCCAGACACAGAATGTTGGAATGTTGGACACAGAATGTTACTGTTAGCTGTACCATACACCACAGCCAGACACAGAATGTTGGACTGTTAGCTGTACCATACACCACAGCCAGACACAGAATGTTGGACTGTTAGCTGTACCATACACCA